TCATCTTCTGCAAACGGCATGAGAAATATGTCAGAAAGTGTGTCCAAAGAGCCTACACCTTCCTTTCACCCCTGTGGCCAAGGAGAAAATAAGATTAAGGATTCATCCCTCCCACAGCACAGAGGATCCCCCAGAAAGCCCTACCTCTGCTGGCAGGGGGGGGGGGGGGGAGCGGGGCAGAATTACACTTGCTAAAGGTCCACAAGATAGAAATTAGCATGATTAAAAGTGCTTAGCTTGAATAAAATAAACCCCTTGAATTACAACTAAAAGAGAGAATTAAATTTAAAGAGCGTCTCTGGTAAAAGTCACTTTCCCTTAGGGGAAACCATCTATTTTTTTCAACCCCATCATGGATTAGATTTGCAAATACAGCCTAGGAAAAAAAAAATGCACATAATAATACTCCAAACACTTCATTTTGGGAGGATGACCTCGGAAGAATAGGAGGAGGAGTGGAGACCTTCAGCTGAGGAGTGAGGGGCCAAGCATGGTCCTCAGCCAGACCCTCTCCAATGGAACGCCACCACACTCCGGGGGCAGGGATCAGACCAATACTTCCCTGCCAAAGTAATAATTTCCCACTAAATAACACGTTCTGAAAGAGTTTGACGGAGTAATACAAAGTTGGTTGTTTCCAAAAATGTTGAATCATTCTGTCTGCATTAAGTGCATTGCTTTGAGAGAGAAAAGCGATGCACTAAAGCTATTCTGTTGATTAACTGGGACATTCACCTTGTATGGAATATTTACTCCAATATTAGAGATGTGCGGCATTTTTCCCAGTGGCATGGCTGTGGATGCATCACTTGGGCATTTTAATTTCATATAAATAACTTCATATAAAACCAAGACATATCACTTGCAAAAGCAAAAACATTGAGGGTCCTTCCAAAGAAAACAGCAAATCTCCTTCTGAGCCCTACCAAGGAAATCAAAGCCAAGTTTGACACATTCCTTGTGAGTTTGTTGTTATCATTGTCATCGACACATTCCCAGGAGATACTGCAATTATTTAAACACCTCTTTCTCCAAGCCCAGATGATAATGGATAAGCTGCCAGATTCTCACATAATGCTAAAGAAGTCACAGAGTCAAAGGCTTGGGTAACATCGGAAGGAGGGATGCCTCCTGCAGAATCCCACCCAACACTTTCCGCTTGCTCCCCTCTCTCCAGCAAAGCGCTCAGCTCCTTCCTGCATCCTCTAAAACCCAAATACACAGCAGGGAGGAGCAGCGGGTGGGCTGTACCTCTCCCTCCACCAAGAGGGGGATTCCCGAGCCTCCTCAAGTCCCCTGGCAATACCTCGAGATTTAGCAATCACACAAGCAGACATCATTCCAATAAAGCGAGCTGAAATGCTACCCCAAGAAGGCAAAACCCAGCCCAGTTCTCTGACCTCCAGGACGGCACATTTCAGCAACAGTCTTTAAAAACCACATCCTGAGCAGCGTTGCTTTTTATCCAGGCACTGGAAGATTTATGAGGCGCTGCCACGGCTCCACACAGAGACAAGGCTGCAAGGTCAAGGTGCTTCTGTAAGGTGGCCACTACCACTGGGACCATCCCTTGCCCCCACAGCCCTGTGCGCTGTTCCCCAGAGCGCTCCCACCAGCCCAGGCCCTTGCTGCAGCTTGACACAAGAGCTTGGATACCCATCCTGATGCCAGAGCGATGCTCGTATCTGACCTCCCCTCCTTCACTATCGATTCCTGCGGTGGCTTTACTGTGACATATCTTAGCAGGCTGGAATGGGGATGGCACCCCAAAGGGAATGTTATCTGCAGGCTCACTGACACGGGGATAGGTGTAGTGCTGCAGTCCGCTCCTCCCCTCTAGCAGCCTGTGAGCTCGGCTTCATCTGGCAGACCCAATCTGGCATCTGCTAGTTTGGGCAGCGCTGTCTCAGTGGAGGTGGGGAATAGCGCAGGGAGCACAGCACGCACTCAGCACAAAATGTCAGAGCAGGCACAACGTGGGGACACCGCAGGCCCCCGCATAAAGCCATGTCCACATTCACTGCAGTTAGCACGCTATTAGGGTCCCCTGCCTTCCTCAGAGAATAAGCACCTCACAGATATATGAACCCCACAAACAATTTGGCTTGTGATGGATTTCTCAGGCTTGGTCAGTGTGATGCTGCTGCTGATTTCTGGCTACCCTCTACGTGCCAGAGCTTTAAAGTGCTGCTGCACGCCAAGCAAGCAGCACAAGAAGAGACAGGCTGCTCCTGCCATGCGTTTTAGTCGCCTCCATCACCTGCAAGATCTGCTCCTGCTCCAGCTAGTCCTACAGCCCCACAGGAGAGCCGAGCCACAGA